TTTATCAGTACATTCATTCATTTATTTTGCTTGTTGCTGAGACAAAATATCCAACACCCAGAGTTTAAGTAGGAAAGGTTTATTTGTTTGTTTGTTTCTTTGTTGTTTTTTTGAGACAGGGTCTTGCTGAGTAGCCCAGGCTGGCCTCAAACTTGTGGCAATCCTCCTGCCTCAGCCTCCCAAGTGTTGGGACTACAGGTGTGTGCCGTCATGCCCAGCTAGGAAAGGTTTATTTGGCCTATAGTTCACAGAAGTTTCTGTCCATAATTGGCTGGCTCCAAGGCAGGGTGGGACATGGCAGAGGGGCAACCGTTCATGGAAGGCAGAAGGGAGCAAAAGCAAGAAGGGACTTTGGCAGTGTCTTTCTGCCCCTTTTATCCTATCTAGGCTACTTAGGGCAGGTAGCACTCACACTCTTAACCCTAATGCCCTTTATCCTAGCATTGCACCATCAGTCAGTTCCAGCAACACACACTCTAAATCCAGCCATCCCCAAAAGCCCCACCTATGACTGCTTGAGGCTTTGGAGGCTATCTAGACCTAAGCCGAATACTTACTTTCTTATTTTGCAGTCCTGGAATTGAATGTGGGGCCCTGTGCATGCTAACGGAGTGCTTTACCACTGAGCCCAACCCCCAGCTGTGGGTTTTTTTGGTTTTTTTTGGTACCGGGAATCAAACCCAGGACCTTGCACTTGCCAGGCAGGCACTTGTGCTGCTCAGCTATATCCCCAGCCCCCCGTGTTTTTTGTTTGTTTGTTTGTTTGTTCGGTACCAGGAATCGAACTGAAACCTTGCACTTGCCAGGACTGTGTTTATTTTTAATAATGACTGAACATCATTTTTTTTTTTTTTGGCACTGGGAATTGAACTCAGGACCTTGTGCTTGCCAGGCGGGCGCTTATGCTGCTGAGCTATATCCCTGGCCATCATTATTAATCAACTCAGTAGAAAAACTAGAACCTTAGGGCTCAGCAGCAAAAGCTCCTGCCTGGCAAGCACAAGGTCCTAAGTTTGATTCCTGGTACCAAAATAAATAAATAAATAAATAAATAAAAGAAAAAAGAAAAGAAAAGCTAGAACCTTGACAATCACATAAACACATGTCCATGTACATGTCCCATCCCACCCCTTTCTCCTAAACCAAGATAAATACCATCTTGACTCCTATGTTTATTCTTTTTTTGTGTAGCTTTAGCTCTATGTGTATTCTGAAAGTCATTTTTATTTTAGTTTTTTAATTTTATAAAAAGATAATTTTCATATTTAATTTTTTGGAACTTTTTCTTTAATTTTTTTACTAACATTACCAAGATTCATCCTTTTTTTTTTTTTTTTGGTCTTTTTGAGACAGGGTCTTGCTATGGAGTTCAGGCTAGTCTTGAACTCACTTTGCAGCCCAGGCTGGCCTCCAACTTGCAAAGATCCTCCTGCCTCAGCCTCCTGAGTACTGAGATTACAGGAATGCCTGGCTCATGCCTATTATTGAGTGCCATTGTGTTGATTCACTCATTTCGACTGCTGAATAATAGTCTTTTTTTTGACAAGGTCTTGCTCTGTAGTATAGACTGGCTTGGAACTTGCTGTGTAGCTGGAAATGGCCTCAAACTCATGATCCTCCTGCTTCAGCCTCCTGAGTGTGACTATACACCATTTTTCCATTCCTTTGTTCTGTGGTTGATGGTGTGCCTCTGTGCTGCTCTATTCTCTTTTTTTTGTCTGCTTCAGGTTTATTTGTACAAAGAGCACAGGAGGACACCAGCCCTCCCCACTCCACCCCACCCGCTGCAGATGGTAGCCCAGGGGTCACACCGGTCCTTCTGTCCTCTCATTGGCAGATAGAGGCCTGTACTGTGGCGCCTTCACAGGGGCTTGGGCACCTTTGGAGCCTGAGCTGGAGCAGACACTGGAGCAGCAGCCTGAGCCCGGGCCTTGGTTGGAGCCTGGGCCTGTGGCCGGCAAAGCCTGAGACCTTTGGGACTGTGGGCACGAGTACCACTTGCAACAATCCTCCTGCCTCAGCTTCCCAAGTGCTGGGATTACAGGCGTGCCCCACTACGCCCGGCAGATCTCTGTCATAAAATGAAAAAAGGAAGAAGAAATGTGTGTGTGAATCTTCACGAGCTGGTGCTATTCTGTGTTCCAAAGTGATTATCCCAATTTATACTCCCACCAGTAATCACAGCTTTCTGTCACTTTGTTTTTTGAGACAGGATCTCGCTATGTAGTGTAGACTAACCTTGAACTCGTAGCAATCCACCTGCCTCAGCCTCCCAAGTGCTGGGATCACAGGCATGTGCTACCACAGCCAGCTTTTCTCTTCCCCTCCCCTCCCTTCCCTTCACTTCCCTTCTCCCCTCCTGTCTCTTTTTTTTTTAATGGAACTGGGTATTGAACCCAGGGCTTCACACATCTCATGCATGCTAGGCAAGTGCTCTGCTACTGAGCTACATTACCAGACTTCCGATAGTGTGAGTGTGTGCACACGCACACATGCACGCTTGGTAGTGTCGGTTTGTATCCTCACTCACACCTGCACCGAAGTTGCTGTTGCCAGTCTCTGCCCTTAATGCCGTGGTATGTTATTCTGACCAGGAACGTTTTCTGGAGGTGGCGCAAACCCTGCACCTTCCCTGAGACCCTGGGACCTGGGAGCATCACTGGGTGAGACGCAGTGAGGGTCGCCGGCCCTGACATCAGGAACGGTGGGACTTCTAGATCACAAGTGACTCCAAGGAATGGTAATGGATTCTCTTTCATGAAATCAGGAGCAGCCGGGCGCGGTGGCGCATGCCTGTAATCCCAGCACTCGGGGGGCTGAGGCAGGAGGATCCTTGCCAGTTTGAGGCCAGCCTGGGCTACAAAGTGAGCTCAAGGCCAGCCTGAACTGCATAGCGAGACCCTGGCTCAAAAGGACAAAAATAAATAAATAAATAAAATAAAGTGAAATCAGGAGCCTTTGTTCCCTTGGGTGTCTGTGTTCTTAGCAATTCTTCCTGCATGTAGACGGGTTAGGGGGGCATGGAGATTTAGGACGTCAGTGTCTGGATCATGGCTGTATTAGAGGAGTGAGGTCTTCACATTGCTTCATACCCGTGACCTTAGTACCTCCCTCTCACATTTCCAGCCATGGCCTTGCGGATTAGGGAAGATGGAATACCACCCCACCTGCGGGGTGAAACTACTGACTGAGCCCTTTTCTGCGAGGGTCCAGGCCCACTCCCAGCCCCTACACGGAGGACAGCTTCTTCCCCCATCTCCCTGTGTTTTGAATGGCCAGACGGAGGGTTTGGAAAGGAAGGTGCTAGCACGGGGTGGGGGTGGGGAACCCGGGCTTGGAGAAAGCCAGACACAGCAGAACTATTCTGTTCCAGAGCTGCAGGGTCCACAGATTCCAGCCCAAATCAGCCAATGGGAGAAGGCCCTCTAATCCCAGGGCACTAAAGAATTCTCTTCAGTTATCCAACTTCCCCACTGAACCCCACTCCTTACCCCCACCCCCACCCTCACCCCCGCCGGACTCAGAGGAGCCCGAGGCCCCCAGGAGCACAGCTCTATGCCCCATGCCGTGCACCCAGCTGCATGGAACCTCCAAGGCTTGAGGGCTGCTCTAACGCAAGTGTCAGTCAGGACTGTGAACCCCAACTTTGACGCACACAGGACAGCGTCTTCTTGTCCCTTGTCCGTGCGTCTCCGTCTTTGTGGTTTGTGGCTCTCTGGGCTCAACTCCCTGCTGAGGAGGGAAGGGAAAACCCAGCAGCTCCCTCCGACGTGTGAGCGTGGGTTCAACCCTCCACAGCCACGAAGGGGTTAAGAGGCTGGGCCAGCTGCCTGCGCCTGCCCCTCCCAGGGATTAAGAGTTCTCTATAAAGGGGCCTGTCCACCCAGAGCGGCCAGGGGGGTATCAGGGACTCAGGCACCGTGCCCATCCCCCTTGCCATGTGGGAGCTGCGGTCTGCCTCCTTCTGGAGGGCCATATTTGCTGAGTTCTTCGCTACCCTCTTCTATGTCTTCTTTGGGCTTGGGGCCTCACTGCGCTGGGCCCCCGGACCCCTGCACATCCTGCAGGTGGCTTTGGCCTTTGGCCTGGCCCTGGCTACATTGGTGCAGACAGTGGGCCACATCAGCGGAGCCCACGTCAACCCTGCGGTCACTTTCGCCTTCCTTGTGGGCTCCCAGATGTCCCTGCTCCGAGCCTTCTGCTACATGGCAGCCCAGCTCCTGGGAGCTGTGGCTGGGGCTGCTGTGCTGTATAGTGTTACCCCGCCCGCTGTCCGCGGAAACCTAGCACTCAACACGGTAACGGCTGGCTGAGGGGTTAGGGGAACCTGGTGGGCTGCTCTCTGTTTCTGATTCTCTGCCTGGTGCGGTGCGTGTGCATGTATGTGTGTGTGCGCGCGCGTGCGCGCGCAGGGCAGGTATGATGGTGCACACCTGTAATCCCAGCACTTGGGAGGCTGAGGCAGGAAGATCTCTGTGAGTCCGAGGCCAGCCTGAACTGTACAGTGAAACCGTGTCTCAAAAAGACAAAAAAAAAAAAAAAAAAAATTGTGTGTGTGTGTGTGTGTGAGACTTCGCGTGCATGCCTGCGTGTGCACGCGAGTGTGTATGTTCAAGGTGGGGAGGCACCTTGGAGGGGTAAGAAAACCATAGGGCCCTGAACTAAGAATCAGGGAAATCGGAGTTTGGGTCCCAGCTTCGCTCCCAACTCCTTTCAGGTTCTTAAGGAGCTGTATTTTACCTTGCAGGACCTCAGTCTCCTCTTCCACGTAAGTGGGTACAGTAATTCCTACTGCAGAGGAGTGCTGTGGGGAGAAATTAAGCTACGAATGTAATTACTATGACGGGGGTTCTGTGTCCTTCCTCCGCAAGGAACTGAGGCCAGAAGGCAAGCCCTGCCTGGCCCGGGAAGCCTGGAGGAGGTGACGCTGCGGCAGCCCCGCTGAGCCGCCCCCTCCTTCTTCCTCCGCCCAGTTGCACGCGGGGGTGAGCGTGGGCCAGGCTACCACAGTGGAGATCTTCCTGACGCTCCAGTTCGTGCTCTGCATCTTTGCCACGTACGACGAGAGGCGGAACGGCCGCCTGGGCTCCGTCGCTCTGGCTGTCGGTTTCTCCCTCACCCTGGGGCACCTCTTCGGGGTAAGTAGTGCCGGGGAGCAACTTCCGCTCACGGACTCCAGGGCCCCCAAACCTTCTCCGACTCTGAGGGGTTCTTCCTGCCCATCCCGCTGTCCGCATGACCGCTGCCCACCCCGCTCTGTTACCAGCAGGCACAAAGGGCTCAGGGCTGCACTGTCCCTCTTTGAGTACTGTTTCGTCCCTGACCTGCAGGTGGAAACGCATGCAGCCTGGAAGGGTTGGCATTTGCCTGTGGGTCACCATCCGGGAGTGCAGGCTGTCATGTAGGTTGTCCTTTCCTGCTTGCTGCTGGTGGAGACATAGTATCGGCTCTCAGGCCACGTGGGCTATGATGAGAAGCTGGGTGCAAGGGGTGGGGAGTTTTACAGCTGTTTCTTTCCCTCTCTCTCTCTCTCTCTCTCTCTCTCTCTCTCTCTGTTATTGCTGTTGAGACAGGGTCTTGCCATGTAGTTCAGGTTGGCCTTGAACTCCTGGCAATCCTCCTGCCTCAGCCTCCCCAGCACTGGGATTACAGGAGGATGTCATGTGCCTCCACACCTGGCTTACCGCTGTATCTCTTGCAGATGTATTATACTGGTGCAGGCATGAATCCTGCCCGCTCCTTTGCTCCTGCCATTCTTACTCGGAACTTCACCAACCACTGGGTGAGTGAGGGGGGAGGGGTAAGATCTTAGAGGCCTTCGGGATGGGGCTGGACTGCGGGTCCCAGGTTTGGTTCCTGCTTTCCTTCCGGATATACTGGCCGCCCTGCCAGCGCTCGGCTAAGGGGCTGGTGGAGAGCACGATTTGCCTGTTTGAACAGGTTGCACTATTTTGCTAGAAAGAGAGGGTCTCAGCTGGAAGTCATGATACATGCCTGTAGTCCCAGCACTCAGGAGGCTGACGTATGCGATCACCCGTGCCCAGAAGTTCAAGTCCAGCCCAGGCAATGTGGCGAAATCTTCTGTTATGAGAGAGAGGGAGAGAGACACACAGAGACAGAGACAGACAGAGAGGAAGCCAGGCCTGGTGGTGCAGACTTGTAATCCCAGCGCTTAGGAGGCTGAGACAGGAGGATTGCCACAAACTCAAGGCTGGCCTGAACTACATAGTGAGAACCTGTCTTTTTAAAAAAAAAAAAAAAAAGAGGAAAGAGAAAAGGAAGGACAGAGCAAAACAGAATAGAACAGAACAGAAATTAAGTAAAAGGTTCTTGTTCACATGGTTCCTTCTCTGGCTAGATACAAAGTCTAAAACTTCTGTTCTAGAACTCAGGGTGTGTAGGAGTGCAAAATACTCTGGCCCCCATCCCAGTTCTCACATTTACGAGTCCGTGTGTGACGGGGTAAATAATTCAATCTCTCTGAGCCTTGGCTCCTCTAACTATAAAACGGAGTGCTATGGGAAGTAAGTGTGAACGTTATAGGCCTGAAACATTTAGCACAGAACTTGGCATTCAATAAATACTGTTTATATTTATGCTGCTTGGCCATAGGCAAGATTTAACAAAAGATCTACGGAGCTGTCAGCCCACGTTCCTAGCAGCGCTATTCACAATAATCAGAGGTGAAAACAAACTCTGGTGTCTCTCTCTCTTTTTTTTTTCCCCTTGGTCTTTTTGAGACAGGGTCTCGCTATGCAGTTCAGGCTGGCCTTGAGCTCACTCTGTAGCCCAGGCTGGTCTGGAACTCCCAACGATCCTCCTGCCTCAGCCTCCCGAGTGCTGGGATTACAGGCATGGGCCATCACGCCTGGCTCCAGTGTCTCTTGATGGATGAATGGATAAACAAAATGTGGGCTCTACATACCTGAGATATTATTCAGCCTTAAAAAGGAAGGAAATTCTGACACATACTACAACATGGTAAACTTTGAAGACATTATGCTAAGTGAAATAAGCCAGTCATAAACAGACAAACTTCTAGACAATTCCACTTATGTGAGGTACTTGAATTCACAGAAGCAGAAGATAGAAGGGTGGTTGGTTGCCAGAAGCTGGGATACTGGGCGAACAGGCAGGTTGTTTAGTGGCTATGACATTTTAAAAAATTTTTTAAAAATTTTAAAAAATTCTGCAAGTGGGTTGTACAACTACATGAATATACCTAACCCTACAGAACTTCAAGCTTAAAAGTATTTATTTATTCATTTATTTATTTATCTGTCTTTTTGTCTTTTTGAGACAGGGTCTCGCTATACAGTTGAGGCTGGACTTGAGCTCACTTTGTAGCCCAGGCTGGTCTTGAACTCAAAAAGATCTTCCTGCCTCAGCCTCCTGAGTGCTGGGATTATAGGCGTGGGCCACCACACCTGGCCCTTTAAAAGTATTTAATAAGATAAAGTTTATGTTATAAAGTATATTTTACCATTCCAAAAATTTTGAGAGAAACAAACCATTGCAAACTGATGACAAATAAAATAATATGTGTTAGAAAGTATGGGATAGAGGAGTAACAACGAATTAGAAAAGACATGGTGAATTTGGAAGTACAGACAATGGAGTTTAAAAACAAACGGAGCCGGGAGTGGTGGCGCACGGTTGTAATCCCAGCGCTTGGGAGGCTGAGGCAGGAGGATCACTGCAAATTCGAGGCAGCCTGGGCCACAAAGTGAGTTCGAGGCCAGCCAGAACTGCATAGTGAAACCCTGTTTCAAAAAAGACCAAAAAATACCTGGGGTTGGAGCTCCATGATAGAGCACGTGCTTAGCATGTGTGAAGCCCTGGGTTTACTTTTTTTATTTAGTTTTTCCAGTCTGTTAGGCCCTGGCTTGAATATGTATCACCACACAAATAAAACCCCACAATGACTTCGTCCTAGACAATGCTCAGGTGCATGTGAAAACTGCACCTTGTCTTGACCTCACTGAGAGTGAGAGGAAAAGCAGCAGCCCGGCTGCTCAGCTCCTTTCCCGAGCCTGAGCGTGTCTGCTCTCTCCCCACAGGTGTACTGGGTGGGCCCAATCATTGGAGCGGGTCTGGGCAGCCTTCTCTACGACTTTCTGCTCTTCCCCCGGCTCAAGAGCGTTTCTGAGAGACTGTCTATCCTCAAGGGTGCCAGACCCAGTGATGCCAATGGACAGCCAGAGGGCACAGGGGAACCTGTGGAACTGAAGACCCAGGCCCTGTAAAAGTTCCCGCGGGACAGGGGGAGTAGAAAGCTTCTGGGTTTCGGTGGAGGGGACGAGCCAGTCCCCGGAAGAAGAATGAGACTGTGGGGAGGGGCATGTACTTCTTTCTTTTTTAACTTATGTGCGTGTTTCCCCCCTTTTGCTGTGTGAAATCTTTCAAGTTGCATTCATGAGCTGGTTGGTGCCAACTTCCCTTCCTCCCCATCCCACCTTCCTCCGCCGTGTGTGCAAGATTGTGCGTATGCATGTGGCTGGGCGTGGCCATGTCAGAATTTGGGGGCACAGGAGCTAGGGAAGGGAAAAGAGGTGCCAACATATATGTCCCTCCTCCAGCCCAGTGTGGTGAGCGCAGGGAACCTTAGGGTTAGGCCTCTGGGCTTTACCTGGCTTCTATTCAAGTTTATGGCTCTTGATTTCTGAGGGAGCAGGGAGGTAGGGAGTTACTCCTCCCAGGAGGCAGACGGACAGAGGTGAAGACAAAGCGTTGCCATGTTTGGGAGAAAGCACCCAAAGGGGTGGTGGTGGAGGTAGTAGCTCCAGATCAACATGCAAGTGTACCTACAAGGTTTGGGGGAGTTAGTGGGAGAATGTAGCCAACTTATCTCAGGGATGCTGGTCCCAGGGACTTGGGTGCGGAAGTGGCTCTGAGAAAAGTGAACACTGGGATTTGAGCTGTTGTGTAAAGCCACATAAACCTGTCTACATCCACTGGCTGGGTCGTCTGTTCATTCTGGTAAAATGATCTCTAGAAGGCCCTGGGGCAGGGAGCTCCCAACCTAAAGAGCAGGTGGGTAAACCTAGAATCTAGAAAATTCCTCATATCCCCTGGCAGATGGTATTTAAACCTCAGAATTGCTCCCAAAGATCAAACCAGAAAATCTAACTCCTGGAGCAAATTTAGCAGCGTGAATAGGGGGCAAAGAAGCTTTGATTTAATTTATTTAGAGCAGCCGGGCACAGTGGTGCACACCTGTAATCCCAGCATTCGGGAGGCTGAGGCAGGAAGATCACTGTGAGTTCGAGGCCAGCCTGAGCTACATAGTGAGCTCAAGGCCAGCCTGCACCACAAAGTGAGACGCTGTTTCAAAAAACAAAAATGTATTGAGCGCAAATCCAAACACTCTCCAAATGGCATCTGTCATCTTTCACCACTAGCTCTAGTCTTTTTATATGTCTTTTCATTTTTCTCTCATCTGTCCTTTTATTTCACAGCAAACCTCTGATAACTCTTCCTAATACCTCAGAAATTGATTTTTTTCTATTCAAGTGACTAGTAATTCAAGAGATTGTTTGGAGCCCTGTTTTATTATTGGCAAAATACACCACTTCAGGCAGAGACAAGAGACAGGAGACCCTCAACTGAATTATGAATATTTATTGATCGCTCCCTTTTATGAGCCTCCAGCAAACTTCACAAGCTTTAAACTGACACCTATAGCACGAGACACCCTAACTCCTTCCAACACTTCAACTCTCCATTTCCTTCCAAATAAAATATAACTTTTCAACTCACCCTTTAAGGTTTTGGAATAGTCCACTTTACTAGAAGGGGAAGAATAGTCCACTTTACTAAAAACATTCGCCTCTATTCGGACCTTGACTCCTATTATAATCCAGCAGAAAATTCTTAGCGCTGTGGCACTTCGGTCAATGTTGGAGATCAACTCTGATAAAACAGTCCTTGTGATCGCTTCCCTTTTCCTTACCTCCTCACCAACCACCCCCCCACTCGCTCGGAGCAAGTGGACCAGCCCGACTCGCCCCGCCCCATCTCTCACGCAGGCGGGGAGTGGTCCTGCCGGGCCAGTGGCGGGAAAGGCTGCAGAGCTGCTCCTGAGGGCTGCTCGCTCCGTGGGGCTCCGGAGGACCCACGGGGAGTGGGTGAGTGTGGCCATAGGGCTCTGAGTGGGCTCGGGTCCCCTCAGAACCGCGGGGGGCAACTTGGGTCGTGCGGAGTCTTCGTTCCCGCCACTCTGGTTGAAAGGCAGGGGGCGGGGCGCGTCTATGGACGCGCATGCGCAGCGCCGTTCCGGGCGCGCTGGCTGCCGGCTCCTGGCTGTGCAGCTCTGCGCGCCTGGGCTTCGCGCAGGCGCAGCTGTGATGGGTAGGAGCTGGGAGCCTCAAAAGTAGAGCGGGGCTTCCGAGGGATTTCCGATCGTAGCTCACCATCCAGTTGAGATTAAAAAAAAAAAAAAAAGTTGTGCGGCTTGTGATTCTCAGGCGTCAGAATTCACGGGGAGCTTGCTTTAAATCTTGGATTTGTATAGAACATTCCCTTCCCTGGGGATTTTCATAGAACATTCCCTTCGGATTTGTCAGTGTCCATTAGACACTGACTAAGCGTCGTCTGGAGTCTCAGCTCTTTTTTTGTTTGTTT